CCCCAGCTCCCAGAACGGCGGCGAGGTGGGCACAGCCCTGTATTAGACACCGGAGAGTCTCCCCGGCCGGCACCCGGAGGAAACCCGGCTTCATCCCTTCCGCCGCTCATGGAACGACTTTTTCCGTTTGGCTTCTGAAAGAGAAGGAAGAAAACACTTCTTTATTTTTTTTATAAGGAAGGTCTCAACTTTCCGTCTTTCGGCTGCGGCGGCGAAACAAAAGGATCGGGAAACAAAAATCCTCAAAAAAGCACTTTCCAAAGAAAAAAAAACCTAAAAAAAGGCAACGCTGTTCCTTCCCCACCACTCCTTTTTTTGGCCCATTCTAAAAGCAAGCAAGGACGTGTACAAAAATAGGAAAATAATAGGGAAAAATCCTCGGGAACCTGCGGAAAAAGCCCTGGGAACCTCCTGTCGATGCCAACGCCCCAGATTCCTGCTCCCCCCCCCTCTAAAAAGATAATAAATAACCCAAATTAGGGGTAGCAGGAATTATTATTAGGTAATTAGGTAATAATTATTAGGTGGCAGGAATTATTCGGAACACCAAACCGGGCTTCGGATGCGGTGGGGATTTATCCCGCTCCAGCAAAAATTCTCCGGACAAGCTCCATGTTTCCTGGAGCCTGCAGGTAGATGGAGGAGCCCCTCCAGGAGACGTTTTGGCCTCAAAAATCTCTATTTTTTATTGTTTATTACTTTTTAGGGAGACGGAGGAGAATTGTCAAGGCTCTTTTTTTATTATTTTTTTTTTATTATTCCCCCCCCCCCCCCGCTGAATTTGGCAGGAAAAGAGAGGAAGACTTCCAAGAAATTCTGCAGCTTTGACTTCTAAAACCCAAAAAAACTCAATTGGCAAGGGATGGCTCCGTCGTAACGCCCAATTGCTTCTGGTATTTTGCAAATAGAGTGATTAAACGTGCGTGCGTGCGTAACGCCATCTGCAAATTGGCCCGAAAAGAGGTACTTTTGGGGTTCTCCCTGTCCCCGAAAGTGTGATTCCTGGGCTCCCGTTGACAATGGAGACGCCACCTTGAAGCTTTTGCATTTGGGGAATGCCCCCCCCCACCCCCCCACCCAGGTTTTGCCCGGGGGCAAGCTGCTTTTTGCTTCTTATTTTGGGGGGTTGTTTTCCGGTGCGTAAGGAGGTTTTCCCTATTTTTAGCAGGAGAGCAGATATCGTGAAGGTTTATTTCCCCTCCTGGTCGTTGTAGTAATTGTAGGTGACGAAAGCGCCTGAGCTGGGACGGGGCCAAGCTCAGCTCTGGCGTAAACAGATCCCTTGGAAGCAAAGAAGTTTCTCTCCGTCCATCCCCACGTTGTCATTCCTTAATTAAAGGCACCTCCGTGTGGGAACCCAAGGGCCGGATCCCGACTCTTGAACCCCGTGGAGCTCAACGCCACCGCGGGGCGACGACGTTAATTTGCGCAAGGGCGAGTCTTCGTCTTCATGCGCTGGGGGATGTTTCGGGGTGGGGGGGATGGCATTTTAAGGACATGGTTTAGTGGTGGGATGGCAGGGTTAGGTTAAAGGTTGGACTCGATGATCTTAAAGGGCTTTTCCAACCAAAGTGATTCTATGATTCTATGATTCTATGATTGATTCTATGATTCTATGGGACGTGCCCATCTCAGGCGGGTTCCCCTGTTCCCCATCCCCACTCCCAGATCTCAAACTGTCCCCGATTGTGTTTTCAGACGTTAAGAAAGAAAGGTTTTAACGGCTGTGACAGCCCGGAGCCCGACGGCGATGACTCGATAGACCAGAGCCCCTTGATGGAGGATAAATACCGTAAAGGCAGCGAGGATCTGGATATCCTGTTCAAGCGATACGGTGTAAGTACCTGCCCCTTGGCTGGAAAACCTTCATTATCTGTTCTTTTTTGTTCTGTTTTCTGTTCGATTTCCCTCCAACCTCATCCCCTCGTCCCTCCCCAACACCCCCTC